GTCATTTTATTCTTCATAGGTTATGGGCCCAGATTGCGCTTAACTGTGCAGAGCAACTACCATTGTTAAATTCTTTCGGCAAGCCAAGCTGCGTCGACTGAAATGAAAATGGCGACGACTAATACAGTGTCAATTGAAAAGCTAAACAAGGACAACTTTGACACGTGGAAGTTGCAAATGGAAGCAATACTGATTAAAAATGATCATTGGGACTATGTAACTGGGAAAATTCCGAAACCAGAACCTGGTGATGAAGAATTTGCTAAATGGAAAACTACTGACCAAAAGCACGAGCGGATATAATCCTATCCATCTTACCCAGTGAACTTCCACAAGTAAAGAATTGTGTAATATCTCACGAACTGTGGCATAAATTGCATTCTATTTACGAATCGAAGGGACCAGCTAGAAAGGCCACAATTCTAAAAAAATTGCTTTTTACAAAAATGAGTGATTCTAAACAAATAACTGTTCATCTAAATGATTTTTTTATTCTTGTGGACAAACTGAAAGAAATGGAAATAAACAAATAAACAAAACGGATGATTTGCTTACAATATTGCTTTTATATAGCATACCGGACTCTTATGAAAGCTTTCGAATAGCAATCGAATCTCGTGATGAACTGCCTTCTCCAGAAATGCTGAAAATTAAACTGTTGGAAGAAGCTAACGCTCGCAAAAATAAAGATTCAACGTTTTCTGAACCACAACATGCGTGCTATTCAAAAGATCGGAAGTATACTCAACGACCGGATTCCTAAACCGAAACCAGATAAAATCTGCAAACAGAAGACAGTATCCAGTTAACTACAGATGCAACTTCTGCCATATCTATGGGCATAGAGCATCGGAATGTAGGAAGAAAAGTAAAGAAACTAAAAGCAAACGCCTCAGTGAAACTGCGATGTCTGCAGAATATCAGAATTCCTTGGAGCAAGAAAAAGCCGTAGCATGCACTAATAGTAATTCTAAAGACATTTTTTGTCTGGATAGTGGTGCAACATCGCATATGTGTAACAGCAAGGAACTGTTTCAAGAAATTCACGAGGTAGGTGATACTTATGTTAAATTAGCTGCTGATAAAACTGTTAAAGCTATTGGAAAAGGAACTGTTAAATTTAAAGTTCGCATAGGTTCTAAAACTGAAAATATCAAACTCAAAAATGTATTGTGTGTACCTGATTTGAAAAATAATTTAATCTCAGTGTCTAAAGTAACTGAAAATAATCTTTCAGTAATTTTCAAAGAAAAATGTGCTCAAATAATTAATTCTAATAACGAAACAGTAATTTTAGCTAAACGCGAAAATGATCTTTATTTTGTCATGCCAATATTTGAATCTGTATCAATTGCTAAAGAAATAGATCAGTGGCATATAAGATTTGGCCATTTAAATGAAAATGATCTTAAAAAACTTCAAATAAATAACATGGTTAGAGGTCTTTCTTTTTCTCAAAATGACTCTCTTTCTACTTGTAAGGTATGCATTCAGGGTAAACAAACCGCAACCCCTCTTCCCAAAGAATCTGAATATAGAAGTACTGAATTGTTGAATCTAATTCATTCTGATTTGTGTGGTCCCATGAGAACTGAATCAATCGGTGGATCATTTTATTTCGCAACATTTATCGATGATAAATCTCGATATGTTCGTGTTTATTTTCTGAAATCTAAGGATGAGGTTAAAGAAGCTTTCAGAAATTTTAAAGCATCTTTTGAAAATAAACTTAACTCTAAAATCAGAATCCTGCGAACCGATAACGGGCTAGAATATTTAGGGAAAGACTTTAATAAATTTCTTAATGATGCGGGAATAAAACACGAAATGAGCACTCCTTACACGCCAGCCCAGAATGGCGTCGCCGAAAGATTAAATCGCACTTTAGTTTCAATGGCGCGATGTTTGTTATTGCAATCCAATCTGCCTCAGAAATTCTGGGCCGAAGCCGTCAATACGGCTGCTTACATTCGAAATCTGCCCCAACGCGAGGTTTAAAACACGAAATAAAAACACCTTACGAAGTGATGTTTGGCAGAGTACCTGCTGTCTCTCACTTCAGAACCTTTGGCCAAAAAGCATTTTCGCTAAATAAAAGGCCAGGAATAGGCAAATTTGATATTCGATCTAAAGAATGTATTTTTATTGGCTATTCTGATGAATCAAAAGCGTATAGACTTTGGGATCCCGAGGCACGTAAAGTGATAATAAGCAGAGACGTAAAATTTATTAATGAGTTTGAAAACTGCTGTAGTTATGACTCAGAGCAAGAAATAAATCTGCCTTTCGCTCCGGAGGAAAAAATTATAAATAAAACATGTTGTGATGAATCATCACCTCTGGACGGTAGCGAGTCGCCACTTCACTCTGAAGCTGAAAAGGAAAGCGGAAGTGATTTAGATAGCGAATCAATGCTTCCTATCCTGATTAAAAGGGGGCCTGGTCGACCCAAGAAAATAAAAACAGGTTTGCCAGGAAGGCCTAAAAAGGAATATCATTATACAGTTGTAAATAAAAATGAACAAACTCAAAATGTTGTTGAGGAAAGCATTAATCCTACGGTGCAAGAAGCATTAAATGGACCATATGCTGAAAATTGGCATAATGCCATGCTGTTAGAATATAACTCGCTTGTTCAAGAAAAGGCTTGGGAATTAGTAAAAAGACCTGAAAACAAGAAAGTTATTGGTAGTAAATGGGTTCTTAAATTAAAATATAATCACGACGGCACTATCGAAAAATACAAAGCTAGGCTAGTTGCTAAAGGGTGCGCTCAAATCCCTGGTCTCGATTTCACTGAAAACTTTTCCCCTGTTGCTAGATTAAGTTCCATAAGAACAGTTTTAGCCTACGCAGTAGAACACAATCTCAAAGGTTACCAATTAGATTTTGTAATGGCCTATGTAAATGGAAATTTAGATGAAGAAATCTACATGGAAATTCCCGAAGGTTTTCGCGATGAAACTAATTCAGATAAAGTGTGTCTTTTAAACAGATCATTATACGGTCTTAAACAGTCAGGACGTCAGTGGTACAAAAAGTTGGATGAAAAATTGAAATCTATGAAATTTAAATCTCTTAATTCAGATAATTGTGTTTATATTAAAAAGATGCCTAACAGTGAAACTATTATAATCGTTTATGTAGACGATCTTATCGTTTTTACCGATTCTCAGCAAACGTATGTAAAACAACGCAGTGTAGCTCTATCTTCAACGGAGGCGGAATATATGGCTCTGTCTGAGGCCGCCAGAAACCGTCTACCTACGTCGTTTCCTGAAAGGAGCTGGGTTACAACATAGAACACCCAACAACAATATACTGCGACAATCAAGGAGCTCAGAAAATTACGAAGAACTCAGTGTTTCACTCCCGTACAAAGCACATAGACATTCGCCATCATTTTGTGCGTGAAGTATATGAACGCGGTGAATTAGATGGTGCAGTACATACCTACCAGTGAAATGGGAGCTGATGTGTTAACCAAACCCCGACTCCTGTTAAACATCAAAACTGTTGTACAATTATAGGATTGGAATACTGTTTAGTATGTATTTTGTTTTATTTTCAGGAATAGGAGAATCAACGTCGAAAGGGGGTATGTTGGCACCCCCTTTCGACGCCGTTGATTTCGACGCCCTGCCGTTGATTACCCTAGCGCATGCGCATGATAAGCAAGTTCTCTGCTGCGTAATACTTATACTTAGTAGGCAGTTAGCCAAAGTCAATGGTGAGTAATGCATGTAAGAGAGAAGGGCTAAGCGCTGTGTAATATCATGTTTCTACTCTGCTGTTCAACGTCTTCGTAGTTTAAATAAATGTTTGTTATGTACATAGAAGACGTCATTTTATTCTTCAATTAATTTTATATTATGCCCCAAAAAGCATTTTTTAACATTTTGTGTTACCTTTATTTATTAAATATCATGTTCTTTACACCTAAATCATAAAATTCAATTCCACAGCAATATCACAAAATAATTAAAAAAGCATATCTTTAGAATTTCTGATACACAGTCTCATGCTCAAGATACAATTTTTTTTTTTTTTCCCTATACAGTTTTGCCATTGTTCACTTTGAAATCATTGAGTTTCTTAATAAAGAACTCATAAATGCTTTACAAAATATGAAATAGATTATAAAACAAATTCCAAATTTGGGCTTCTAGATGTCCATATTTGGGTGGAGACGTAAGTTATTCAAAATTTGATGGCTGTAAGTACCGTTGTTTAATCACAATGCGAGAAACATACATACATTTATGCAGATTCTTCATTATTTATTTTCTTTAAATATAATACAGGGCTCTAATATATCACTTTGAAATCATTGAGTTTCTTAATAAAGAACTCATAAATGCTTTACAAAATATGAAATAGATTATAAAACAAATTCCAAATTTGGGCTTCTAGATGTCCATATTTGGGTGGAGACGTAAGTTATTCAAAATTTGATGGCTGTGTACCGTTGTTTAATCACAATGCGAGAAACATACATACATTTATGCAGATTCTTCATTATTTAATTTCTTTAAATATAATACAGGGCTCTAATATTTGGTGGCAACAATTTAAAAAGTGATTCGCCATTTATAGCGAATCAACACAAAATGTGAAATTGAAATTAATAGCCCTTCTGGGCAAACTGCCCCTTTGGGCTAATTAAAAAGAATGGCAGGGGTCAAAAGGAATGTTTCACAGGATATTCTTAACACCCTTTTTTATTAGACTGGCACTAAATAGGAAGCTATCAAATCAGTTGTTTATTGTACACATACATCAGTGCAATTAACTACAACCTGGATGTGGTTTTTCTCATGAGCAAATTTTTCACTGACACAACTCAAAATGGCTACTCTTGTTACATTTAATACAATCTACCCTTCTACAGATTTTCTGTGTGTTTACATGGATGGTTCTATTATGCATTCCACTAAAATGCCAGATTCCTGAAAAGTTAATGTTTAACATAGATGATTAAAAAAAAGGAATTTACTTACATTGGTAGCCTTTTTGGACACTTTTTCCCCATTCAGGAATATTTTGCTAGCATAAAATTCTTTTTCAATTTGCCTAAAATGAAAAATAAATATGTTAAAATTTTAATTTATATTGTACAAGAAAATGCTACAAAAAACAAAATTTATATGATACTGCAAATTCCTTTTCTTTAACGGCAAGATGTATACATTCTGATAGTTTTAAAATCTGAAATTACACATTGAAGGCACCTTAGCATAAGAGCCCAAAAATAATAATAAATAAATGACATTTTTCGTTTCGTTTTTTTTTTTTTTTTTTAAATTTTTTTATGAACTAGCATACGTAAAATTAGGATGAGACTAACTCGTGATAACTGATTATTTGCCATCTAAATCAACATTTGAATCTACTTAAATCTTTCTCCCATTCTAAGAATTGAAATATAGAAAAAGAAATTTCCCCTTCACATCAGTTTTAAAATGATTTCTCTTCATGCAATATAACTAGATAATGTTTCATGCAATATAACTAGATAATGTTTCATGCGATATAACAATATAATTTTTCCTGCATAAGAAGTATGGTTTTAAAGTTTTGAAATAAAACTTAAACAACATATGCAAATTTTCTTTGTACATGAAGTTTCAACCTATTAAACTTCCTTTTCTAAGAAGCCTATTTCTGTTATATATTTACTCAAAAATAAAAGCTCCCTTATATCTTAGAATAAATTTTATGAAATAAAATATAGATGAAAATGCAGTTCTTGTTAAAATTCATTTATTTCTGATTTAAGAGAAAGACAAGTTACTTAATTCAATATAATATTTTACCACTGCACGGAAAGACAAATTAGAAAAAATTAATGATATATTATTATCTATTTACTTTCTAATGTAAAAATAACCAATTTAGTTGATGGAGGTCTAAACCGAAATTGCTCAACTAGATGAGGCAATTATACGAGGCAGCTATGCACTTTATATGTACAGTAATTATCTATATGGTTTATTTAGTATAACATATCTATATGGATTTATTTAGTTTACTTAGTGTAGTAAACAATGTAATTATTCTATATAGATGATAAATAAATTCATTAAATTAGTCAATTATAAGACACTGGCAAATATTAGTAAAAATTATAGCAAAAAAAGGAGGGCTTTGTTTTCAAATAAATATTGCATATCACGAAAAGGGATTTTTATGAAATTTCACTAGCTTAGATTAGATAGTTTATTATTAGATAAATATAAGGAATTATTTTTTCTTTGAAGATACAAAATCTTCTAAGTTTCAATCAACAGTACTTCTTTCTTATCATGCCCTTATTATTAAATGCACCAATTGCCTTTTTGTTATAAGGCAATTCCCATTCAAGCAACTGCACTAATGAAGCAAACCTGTTTAACAGTTCTAACACACAGTCACTTACATACTGGTGTGAAAAATTAAAAGAAGAACTGTAAAAGAAGTGCTTTGTCTTAATTATATTAAGTGACATCAAATGAGAGGTACTTAGTAGTTCAAGGTCAACATTATAACATAATCCAGTGGTATTCACAGAAATATGTAAATTTTTTTGTGTCCATTCTTTTGGCATATGTGGAAAGAGGCATAAAGGGGTGCTATGAGTCAAGTATTCTACAAGTAGTTGAATGTAATCTATATATGTAGAAGGTTGAACATGTTTTTGAAAAGGCATCTGACTGATTACAATAAATGCCATGTGAAGAATGGAAGCAGTAGAAACACAAATAGAGGTTTGTAAAGATATAAACATAACCAAGAATGTCATGTCAAGAATGGGAAATGGTTTGGTCCCAAATTATGTATGCAGTCAACTAGGTCAAGGTTGAAAATATGCCACAACATATTTTCAAGGATTGCTATTTTGTTATGATTGCTAAATGAAATAGAAAACTGATGTCAGCAAAGATTACAAAAAAGTTTCCTACAGCAACTATAACATGACTATACAGATATGCCATGAATGATGGGATTCATAAAAGAGGGCTGTATGCAAGAAAACCTATGATTTGTGTCCCACTAACTCAGGCTGTGAAATGTGCCCAACTACAGTGCAGAGATCATCTTGATTGGGATTGGAGTATTACAGATTGAAGCTGCCTTTACTGATGAGCCCTATTTTGTTTTTGATTTCAGATGTGTTACAATCTGGAGGGAGCAAAATGCACGCAAAAGCCTAAAAACATCTGTGAAAAGCACTGCTACACACACAGTGGAATCATGGTATGGAAAGGATAATTTTTAATAGCTGCACTGATCTACACATTTTTTACCAGTGCAACTATGAATGTTGAAATATGCAGAGATAAGGCACTTAAGTCAACTTGTTTGGAGGTGAAATTAGTAACAACTTCCTCCTAATGGATAATAAATGATCATCACTATCATGCTGACCAAAAAAACTGATTATCTTGAGGATAAAAGAATTCAGCAAGTAGAGTGGCTAACATGTTGTTTGGATTTAAATCGAATTAAACATGTATGGAATGCACTAGGATGCCAACTTGGATCATTATAGACCCTACTCTGCATTCAAGGGAGCTTCAAGATGCTATTCATCATGAATATATTTTGTTGTTGCTAGAACTTTTAGACAATCTAAAATAATGCATGTAAAAACTTACATTTCAATCAAGGAGGACTACATATCTTATCAAGTTTTTTTTACGAATCTCTAAAATACTATAACACCACCTTTTCCCTCCCCTTTTTACATCTGCTATGCTCTTATTTAAATTTATTGTTTGCAGAGACAGATAATTCTTCATTCTGTAGATTTGATAGGCGTAGTAAAATATATGTTTTTTTGCAATTTCCATGCTCTAATCAGTAAAATCTTTCAAGTTACATGAGTTTTTGTAGTTTTTCCTGCTAATGTAGTTTGCTCATCACTAGTAAAACTCTAATGCTGCACTCCATTATTAAGAAGACTTTATAAATACAAACAAAAACAAAATAGTAGAAAGAAACAAAATAGTAAAAATTGATGAGAGCCTTTAAGTGTTGAATATTTCCACTGCAGTGGCTGTTTGGTGGATTGTGTTGGGGGGGATGACAAATGTTTCATTGTTACAGAGTTTCAAACAGAAGTACAGGCCACAATTCCACAAGAATGATTGCCCCAACATTGACAGGAATTCCACCAACTTTCATGGTTTGATGATAGCCAACATATTACAATAAAGATAATTTATCATGCTAGGAAATCTAGAAGGCTTTGGAAAATATTCAAGAGACAAAATGGTCAGCATTGTACTGAATACGTAAAAGTGAAAAAAATGGAATTACCATTCTCACGTAAGATGTCAGTTTGGGACATGGTCATCATGGAGGGGGGCAATGTAAGATTCCACACACTGTGTCATAATTTGCACAACGTTATCAAGCAGCTGTTGGGTAAGTTCTCTGTTAGTGATTGATGAGGGTGACCTTGTTTACTTGGAGGGCACTGTCGACCAGTAAGACTCCTCTCCAAAGCAACCCAAACATTTTCAGTAAGATTCAGGTCTAGAGAACATGCTACCCATACAAAGTGTTGAATACCCTTGCTCTTTAGATACTCCTGGACAGCAACTATTTGATGACATATTGCACTGTTCTCCATGAAAAAATTTATCATCAACAGCACTAGGAACACACAAACATGAAGCAGCAGAACAACATCATTAATCTATCATGACCAGTCTTTGTCCCAGCTGTAACCACATATAAGAGCGTGCAGCCATTGATGCAGGTGTATAGTCCTCTTTGACTAGCTACAGTTTTTCGGAAGATTAACTTGCCAGTAGCAGCAAGTAACTGATTTGCTACTTCAATGGCTGTGCTGTGCTGCTTCTTTCTATTGATAGCACTATGTACCTATCTTCTGCAGGCACAGCACTGCAAACATGACCTCCCTCGTGACGTTTGCTACACATTCCATTTGTTTGAAACAATTTCCTAAGTCTTGAAACAATACTATGGTTTACAATGAACCTCCTAGCAACATCTGTTATTTTTCCTCCTCCTTCAGTGTTGTCAATAATATCACCATGCATAAAATCATCTAAGTTATGTCAGGAAGACATATTGAAAATTGCAAATTCATCAATTCATTCTTTCCTGTTAAATTTTCCTTCTGAACAACAAAGGTCAATGCACGTCAATCCTTTAGCTCTTTTAACAGCACATCACATAACAAACAACTCTGCCAATTCAAAACTTTGCATATACTTAACATGTCTTACTGTATGCTGCACTTATGCTATTTTTCACATTTTCCTGCCTTCCATTTTGTAGTTGCTATTGCTGCTATCCATCCTTAGTAATTGTCCACCAATGTATACATACATATGTAACCGTACGATTTGGGGAAATGAATTGGCAATGTTATTTGCATTGTAATAACTCGGATAGGCTTTACTGCATAGTTAGAAAGATAACATTCAAAGACAGACATAGCCACTAATTCCACATACAGTCAAAAGTCGTTAATTCGGACACCCATAATCCAGAATGATCTATAATCCGGACCTCAAAACTACAAACTTTCTGCACATGCGTCGCTTTGACGCATAGGCATTTACGTGTGCATGTAAGACCTTTACAGCTGCAAATATGTGTGTGCACCTGCGCATAATACGTTTATGCACACGTGTTTAATGTATAACGGACGGTATAAGCTAAGCTAAAATGATCTAATTAAGTTAATGTTTCAGATTGCGTTGTTCCTTAATCTTCGAATTAGATCCGGCTTATTATTTTTTGAAGACTATTAGAGCAATTTTATAAAAGTAAGCTTGAACTTTCGATTATGTCAAATAGAATTTCCGATATATACTTACTAATATGTAAAGGATCTACAAAGCGAAAGTATGTTTCAAAGTCCATTAAACAAAAAGTGGAATTGCTGCAAAAAATGGATAAAGGCATAATCCTTTGTTTATCTAACCATTCCGAAATCTGTTTATCAATTTCACGCTGCTCTGCGGCCAGTGAGGGAGGGGAGGAACACCGTGGCGCACAATGAATTGGAAGTTGATCTGTCAGCACTATCCTTATCTTCAGGGCAGATGTTTTTA